GACAACTATCTGACTTGGTCCTGACGTTAAGCAATAATAGGACTGATACTTAGGTACTACTTAGTAAGCACTTACTAGAAACCAATCTATACGTGTAGTAATTTAAACCTGATCAAAATAAAAGTTATGCTGGATGCTAAAATTTTTTGCTATCGGCTTTAAAATGCTCGGGCTTTTTAAGTTTTTCTTCTTGAAAATGAATCCTGGCTTGATTTTTCGTCTCCGAAACGATTTACAAGCACATCATCGTCATCATAAATAATTTGTCTAAGGTACAAACGCATTATTTTTATTGTGTTAATAAATACATACCCACTGTTCAGTGTAGATAACTAATTTCTTATCCGAATTTAATAAATATAAGATTTATTTTTAAGTGACATTGGCAATTGCATATCTAACAAGATAGGAACTTATAAAATCTGTATGCAATGGGATCTTAATGTGGTACACAAACACAAAGACCTATTAAAAACGCGGTAATTTTATAAAATTATCTTTTTGAAACCTAAATATCTACCTATATAACATTTACATAATAGATAGCAGGAAGGTATGTATGTAGGTACGTGCATGAATAATAAAAGTACATTGAACTTCTATGACAATGGAATTTGCCACGATTAGTACAAACGCAAACTGGGCCAGGCAAACAGCAAAATGGATGAAAACCATTGAATATGCAAACAATGGTTAATATTTTTACAAATAGGTAATACAAATTTTGACGACTCTACATGGATAATTAAAATCCATTTATTTGGTAGCTGCTGTTATTACTTTCATTTATTAATTACTTAATATTTAAAACACATGTTATTGATAAATTGGTTGTAGTTGCTGTTCTCGAGGAAGCTCGACTAGTTTCAGGCAACACGAGGGCCCAAAATTTGAGCTGTGAGCGCGACGCTCGCTGCATTTGCTTCAGTTGATGAACAGTTACGCTATTAAGCTATAGGTACAAGTAATTTTATTATTTATTGTTTCATGATGGATATGGTTCGACAACATATTTAAAATAAACCCAACTACTTTAGTTAAGGAACAGACTTCCCCTTTCTAAGGTACAATAGGTTTTGTAATACATGAAATTCAAAGTTTCTAAAATAATTGTGAGTCTTCGGTTCTACTTGCTAAATAACCGCGATATATTCGCTACAAGTTGACCAGTTCGTGTTGTTTGACTCTAAATGACCCACATTGACAACAATTAGATACCATCGCTGTATTCAGACAGAACTAGGCTATTATAAGCACTAGTAATTGGATAGTTTCCTAGGTCAAAAATAAATTAATTCGACGTTTCAATACATTAAAACATTGAAAAATAACTATTCTGTTATTCATCGATCTGTCGATACACAAAATTGTCGATACTTTTTGGCAAATTTTTTTTAAGAAACAAGTAAGCTATTTGACGTAATTTGCAGTTTTATACAAACTTTAAAGTAGGTAAAGAATCGTTTTAATTCTACAATTGGGAAAAAGTATTGAATTTGTCTAGTTGGAAACTACCGTATTAATACGGTAGATAGATAGGTAGACCAATCTTAACTAATTAATATGAACTAGTTAATAATAAAAAGTTACGTTAACTAGTTAATATTAAACGCAAACTCTGAATAATAAACGCGAAAGTTTGTAAATCGGTATGGATGGATGGATTTTCGTTGCTCTTTTACATTAAACTACTGAACGTATTTAAATGAAATTTTCCACAGAGAGAGATTATAGTCTGCAATCAGCCATAAGGTTCTTTTTACCCTGATCCTGTAGATGAAACCGTTAAAATAAGTATAGGTTAGTATCTATGTTCTACTAGCTAACCCGGCAAACTCCGTACTGCCTCAAATATAAATATTATACTTATTTACGTTTTTTTTTCAACCTTTTAAACTTACGCTGTATATCCGGAAATATTTCAAGATCACAATAACCCATGTCAGTTCAGCATTTTTCGAGATTAAGCGAGAGTAACGAACAGTAATTCAATTTTATATACGTAAGTGTGGGAGAGCCATGCTTCGGCACGAATGGGTCGGCTCGACCGGAGTGATACCACGGCCTTACAGAAGACCGGCGTGAAACAACCACAGCGTTGTGTTTCGCCCTGTGAGTGAGGTTACCGGAGGCCCAATCCTTCTCCACCCCCAATCCCTCCTCAATCCCTAAATCACCAAATCCCTAATCCCTAAAAGGTCGACAACGCACTCGTAACTCCTACGTTGCGGGTGTCCATGGGCGACGCTGATTACTTACCATCAGGTAATCCGTGTGCTCGTTTGCCGATCTATTACATAAAAAAAATACATATATAAGACTGGCACTCGCTGCTCGGCTCCATTTGATCTTAGAGTGATGTTTGATAGCCTTTAGCACTCAGGAATATGTAGCTAGCTGTTAGTGAAATAATTTTGACATACAAACCTACAAGTTTTGCCTCTTTGTAATATTAGTATAGATTAGTATTTTAGCAGCCAACGAACAAGGAACATATACTATATTTTTGTGCTTTGTGTAAGTACATACAAATGCACTAAATAGCGTGATTCCGAAACAATAGCTAAATGCACTGCATGTCCGGAGTGCACGCGATCTCTGTCGAACGAAGCTCTCTTTGCTTAACCTAGATTTTAACGTTTATTGAACCAATTAACAGTAGTTGTGTACTATTGTTGGTGTATTTTTAATAATATAGAATATTACCTATATTATTTTTAGCTGCGATCGTTCCATTTGCTAGTTATAATATTTATACGTACTTATACATTATAATGAATACTATTTTATATTTAAATGTATATATCTGATATCGATACTATATAAAGCTGAAAATTGATTGTTTGTTCGATTGTTTGACCACTCGGCGATCTCCGTTAGCGCGAGTCTGCAGACGGCTAGCGAGGGTAGCTTGCGGGTCAGAGCCAACGCAATAGAGCAATAATGTGCTCCGATCACGGCCCCCAGATCTTTTTAGTAAAAATCTGACACTCCCTCCGTTTACCATCAGGTAATGCGTCTGCTCATTTGCTACCTTATCACATAAAATACAAGCTAAATACCTGGTCCGCCGTATTTGATAAAAGTAAACCTGACTTACGTTTTGTTCGAGGTAGCTCGATTAGTTTCAGGCAAAACTAGGGCCCAACATTTTAAACCGGGAGTGCGACGCTTGCTGCTTCAGTAAACATGTATGTCTGTTATAGTTATACTTATAGGTGCTCAGTCATATTTAATACATGAACTTATAATTTATAACCTTAAGCGAGGACAAGAGATATAATCGCCAATTTGCACGATACTTTGAAAGGCCAGACTTGAAAATTAGACTTCAGTAGCATCGGACCTTCAAGAGTATTGATTTGCAACCTTCACATTTGAAAATTCATTTTTATAACCTTCATTTTATAAAATTATAATTTAAATGTTTTTTTTTTAATTCTACTAATATTAGAATTGTGAAACCTTGTAATTATGGATAGATAGGTATGTTTGTGAGTATTCCACGTAAAAACTACTGAATGGATTTGATTGAAATTTAAAACAGATTATAGTATGGAATAATATACATATCAGCAAGCAAAGTATAAGCTACTGGCTATAACAAACCACGCTGCACAAATTCGTCTCTATTCAGGTATTGCATACCTTTCGGGAGATAGCAAAATGTTACCAATTACATTAATGATATTTTTACACCATTCATCAGAAATGATAATTAAAAGCATTATATGTAATGTTGACAATTGCTGGTCACCCACGGAAAATTTTGCAGCCAACACCGCCTATACGATCTTATACCTACGCAGTTATGACATACTGGACCTAAAAGGACAATACCTACGTATGTAATTAATAAATCAGATAAGTTAATCTGCCGCCAAACGGCAGTTACAAGGTGTAATGTTGTAATATTTATCACCCGCATGTAACTAATGTGACCAATTTCACATGAAAGGACGGCGTTCGAGGCCGCGCCGAGGACATTCGATTGCACAGATAATTGATTTAATTTAGTTAGCGAGAAATTTGACACAATGATTCACATTACATTAATTATCAGACAAATTAAAAGCAATAGCCTCATTTCATTGATATAAAAAAGAATTCGCTCTTTTGCTACGAAACGAATCGAGTAGTCTACGAAAGTGTATGCTACGTGTAAAACGCTACGCTACTCTACTACGTGTCTGCTACAGTATACTACAACTCGTAGCATGCTACGGTGCATAGGCTACGCTTGCAGGAACTAGAAAATTTTCCCATTGCTTTCGTTAAATTTATTCGCAGTCTTTAATAACCGTTTTAAAAACTGTAAATGTGCAATTTGTAAATGTTACCAAAGGAAAAGACAGAAAATATGTTACTAAGTACGTTCATAGTTATTGTATATCATGTCGAAATTCGTCATAGGAACCTTCAACTAAAAATAATTTTAATCGAAACGATATAACTATTGAAATGTTGGAGTTCGCTTTAACATCGAACCTTTTCCATTTGAAAAATAACCACAGAATGTATGAAACATTCGCTGGAAATATGATTCAGCAACTAAATTACCCTATAACACGTCCGACTGTTTGTTGAACCCACAATGTTGGACATGGAATAATATACATTGCGGTTTTTGCTTACACGTGCTCAATCGAGCTTGTTAAAAATTCTTCAATGGTTGTAGAAGTGCGGCCAACATTCGCACTGTATAAAACGTTCATTAAGAACTCGTGGAAAAATCACGCGAGCCCACTTGTTGACAAACTCGTTCAAGGTCACGACATTGTACACAATATGACCTTTCCCACACTTCTATTACTAATGACTCAAAGATAAGAAAATTACTCCGTCAAAAAAAACATTATTAAAAAGTTCGACACACTTTAATAAAATACCAAGACAACGGACACATCACCAACACTTGAGCAATATCAATATCTTCGTATACATTCAACGTTAACAAAAATAAACAAACTCTTATGAATAATATGTTAACACTTAGAGCGTTTAACCTATCAGCGAAGGTCCATTAATTCAATGATTGCACTCTCTTAATCTAAGTATACACGTGTTAGAACCAACTGTTCTCTTTTTTCATTTTGTCTCTGTGCCGCCCTTTCATCTCCAGGTTCTGGAAAATCTCTGACAGCTTGTCCAGCTTGTGCGCCGGGCTCTGAGGCAGCTCCTGCAGCTTGCAAACTGTTTTGTCACCCTCAACTCTACACACCTGATACGTCTGTCGCTCCCTCAAACACAGCAGCTTCCCTGTCTCCGGCATTGTTGACAACTTGGCCACTTGCATCGCTGCTTTCTTAAACCTCGTCTTCGGTGAAGTTTTTATCTTCTCCTTGCTAAGTGTGCTCTCAGAATTTGGCGTTGGCTGGGCTAACTGATTTGTTTTAGTAGGTGAGGTGTCATCTTTACTCGCTGTAGCGTTTGGTGCAGTCACATATATCGGTTCTATAACATCGTAAGTGTTTTCTCTGAGCAACTGTTGAGGCCTCTTGACATTCAGATTACTTAGGGAACTCTGCCTCGCGAATCCGTGTATGCGCAACGGTGTACAAGGCTTGAGCACATCTCGGATTTTGATCGACCGATCCAACGTACCGGATTCATTTTTATTCAAGTCAAACAAGATCACCTTCGTCTTGGACTTCTCCAGCTTCTGTCCAATAGCTGGTAGAGGATGGAAAGGGGAAAGAGTTGGTTTGATTTGAATCTCGTTGTCAAGCATTCTTAGCTGTGCCGTCTTGTTCTTCCGCGTGATGAGTTTCCGCGGCGCGTAAATAGTGGTTAGCGCGCGCGTTTTGTGCGGATCGAGTGGTGCGAGTGGACCGGGCAGCATGGGGCGTGCGGAGGCGCGCGAGCCTGCCCGCCGACAGCCGGGCCCGACCTTGGCTGACGTCGCCCCTCCCCGTCAATCGAACGCTCACGCGCGCTGCCCTACGCTTGACCACGTGACCAGCCCGCTGCAAGAACGCACCGCGCATGAAAAGAACCCACAGCTGCGTAACCTTTTACCTACTGAAACAGTAGTGCTTGCTATTTCTCGATGTCAGCGAAAAATATTTTTGATCCGTCAAACTTGTACGGATCCATATATATTTATCTAAATTGACGTTTCTCTTCTATTAAGCGGCCAGTATGGGATCTCATATTCAAAATAGCACCCACAATCCTCCTTGTTATACTTTTGCACGCTTTCGTTACCGTTCAGCGACTAAAAAAGTAAGCAATTTACTTAACCTATTTGGCAACCAGAGGAACTTAACACTTCCAGATCAGGTAATTGGATGGCCATCAGCATCCATGCTATTATTAATAACAAAATAAACAACACATCTACACACAAAAAAGTCATAATGCGCCCATTATTCTTATTCTCCGACTTAAACCGTCGATAACAAACATTCATTACAATCATTAGGCTTAAATGATAGTTATGTCTAGTAAGTATATGTGGCTGTGTACCTGCCATGGCATAATGTCGTCACACCGGGGGACGAGGAGTAATGACCATTATTACAATCATCGATCCATTACGACCTTGGAACGGACAAATTGGAAAAAATATTATTTTGTCACCTACCGTGCGACAGACGGACATCTATACACTACTTTGTATGTAATTGATTGGTATCGATTTGTAATAAAGAGGGAACGTGTAACATTCGTTTTCGTTTCGTTTTTTTTTTATTTAATACGTAGCTTTTCTCCTGTGCCGTGGGTACGTTTACAAACATACAATTTTACACCCAGACCTTGAAAATCAATTTTTGGATCACACAAAAATATGTTTCGTGCGGGAATCGAACCCGCTACACGTTGCGTTGGTGTCTACTCTTCGGAAATTAGGTTTCAAGATTTTTTGTGATCAGCATAAAATAATAAACTTCTTAGTTTCTTCATTACCAGTCCCTTTTTTGAGGAGGATAAATCATGCAATGACTTTTCCACATTGTGGAGAGAGGGTGACAGTTCCTTCTTCTACTTAGGGCCGGGACCAGCTATAGGGTCCCTATAGGGCTGATGTTCAGTCGGGGTTGCGAGGTAAGCGCAATGAGAAGAGTCTGACACTCCTTCTCGCTTTACCCCGGGCGGGCGGGAGAAGTCATTTGATGACTATCCCTAGTCAAAAAAAGTGTGTAACAAAACGAACCCCGGTTCCTACTCAGCCCTGAAAGTCAATGAAACTTAGAATTATTAATATGGGAACCAACCAAAGAATGGAAGGCGTAATTCCTAACTTTACACGAAGAACAAGTAAGGTCATTGTTTGGAACAAGCATATGTTATTGACCTTGGAACTATCGATATATTATGTACACAAATCGGTATACTGTCCACTAATTGTACTGTAATAACTGACAGTCGTTACACAAATTAAACTGTGACGTAAATACCTAGGTATCACTTGACCTTGAATTCTTATTACTTAACATAACACTTTTATGATAACTAGGTCCTGCTATATGTATAATAAACTAGCTACTCTCGCGCGGTTTCACCCGCTGCTCGGCTCCATTTAATCCAAGCGCGATGTTTTATAGCACTCAGGAACATTGTAGCTATCTATCAGTGAGAGAGAATTTTGGCAAACCGACCAGCGGTTTCAAAGATTACCCCCTACATACAAACTTACAAGTTTTACCTCTTTATAATATTAGTATAGATAAAAGGTTACTATATTATTTTACTAGCGAGCCGCCCCGTCTTATATTTTTTATTGGATGTTTATGTATTATGCATTTGAAACCTTCCTTTTCAATCACGCTGCCTATTAAAAAACCGAATCAAAATCCATAGTATAGTACGGATAGGGAAAGCGACTTAGTTTTATCCTACGTAGTGTTGTAGACAGTTTCTATCCTAGACTTCGGTCTATTAATGAAAATAAGGATTTTTAAGGCATAAGATAGCACCAAACAAGTGGTTTAACACTATGCCTACGAGTGCCCACTACTGAGCAAAGGCCTCTTCTCATACGGAGAAGGTTAGAGCATTAATCACCACGCTTCCTTAATGCGGGTTGGCGATTTCAAACTTGTAATTAGAAATTATAAGTACAGGTTTCCTCACGATGTTTACCTTCACCGGTTGTCAGTGGTGTCTAAATAATCATAGAAAGTACATACTTATAACTCGGAAAAATTCACATTGGTACTTGCCAGGTTTCGAACCCACATCCTCGTGCACGGAAGCGGGCTCTTTAACCTGCGGGCCACCACGACATTCTTCGACTTTTCTTTGTGTCGTGGTTGGGTTCAGAAACATACACATCACACCCAGACCCGGATCAATAATTTATGGATCATAATGATGAATATCTATATCTTGCACTGCAGTAGGTGCCCCGACAGCCCAACCAACGCGTCAACTGTTCAGTCTAATGGAAATGGGAATAAAAGAAGCAATGGCAATGGTTATTGTATCTTCAAGCAGACGCAAACTCTTGCTGCCAACTTTATAACGATATTAATTGAAATAAATAATTGTTGGATTAACTGAGAAAAACTCTACTAGTTTAAAGTCATAACGGGACTCTTATTCATGAGCAGTTTAGGGTAGATATATCTTAATAAACTTAATAAATCTAATCTTTAAATACCACATTTAATAGCCCTCTAACTCGTATGGCAAGATTATATAATGGGCTATTGTGACAGATTATCCCATAGATATTTTCTCCATTAACTTCGCATCATACAGACGCTCCCTACTTAAACAGTGTAAACAGTGCCCATCGTTATTGCTTTAACATGTTTTTTTAATTATTAGCTAAGTTGTATAAGTCTTAAAAACCTTTCATGCTTAATGTCATGCACACCTGTAATTTGTACAATTGCTTGTGCATCCAATTATTTGATTATTGAGTTTTTTGTATAACATTGGGTGATTGTATTGTTGATGTGCTTATTTTTAAATAAATAAATAAATATCTCACGATAGTGTTATATACAAAAATTTTTTCGACATTGGCCAAAAATTCAAACAACAAGTTTTTTTCTTCTAGGTCGGAAAATTGTTGTCGTATCATCGAACCACCTAATAATAAACCAGCTTTGTTTGACTGTTCACAACATTACCTAAGGCCATATTAGCAAGCAATATTACCAATCAATAATAATTCAATTACAAATTCATTCGTTAGTTCGCTACTAAGAAGCTAGGATCCATCCATAATGTGACAACAGATGATACGTTTAAGTCATTTCAAATTATAATACCAGAGTAATAAAGTTCAATATCGTGTATTTATTTATGATGGGAAAGTGACATGTTTTTCTATGCAACGTAGATTGATCGCAAATTGCAGTAAATGCGTAGTTTCTTCTACTAAACGCTATTAAATTATTCACTAGTCAATGTCAAGGACTTAACAGTTGAAGGTGCAATTTGTAGCGAGAAATGTCATTTAGTATCGGAAAAAATGTGGATAAAATCGATACCATGAGATAGGTGATGTTTTTCATGTAACTGTTAACTCTGCCTCACGAATACCAGAGCCATTTAAACTGAAAATTCATCCCGCCTGAGACAGCTTTTAATTTATTTGTTTTTTTTTTTTTGAGAGGGAATGTTATCAGAAGACCTCTCGCCCTGGGTGGTGTATGAAGGAGTATCAGACTCTTACTAACTAAAAATTACCCTGTTCCCTCTCCTGCTCCAGACCGGGGCGCGGTACATTATTGGCCCTGCACACGCAATTGTGTGGTCTCTACCAATTTTATTTTTATTACGAAGTATTTTTTTACTGATAGCTAGGAAACTGTCAATAGTTTTAAAGCTGTAACAGTGGCTGCAATGCCAACTGCTGGTATTTTTTTGGGCAGCGGGGGTAATTTTCTACTTCGAAGGGTTCGCCTTGGATCAGATTATTATCTGTTAGAGATCCTAATAAAATAAATAAACTTTTTGTCAAATACACCACCAATAATTTTACAAACTTGGAAAACCTGAAGTATATACGTATATATATTTTTGATGTCAAATCTGTAAATTTTAAGTACAGATAATACCTATATGTTTGTGAATCTTCCAAGTTTCATTTGCATGACGATAAATGCTAATCTGAATACTCTAGAATAACTGTATGACTTTACACTAAATCCTTAATTAGAGTGTACTCTAGAATATTTAAGTCCCAAAACTAAAACTAACCTGATAGAAGTGTGTTTTAAAACAGTCTTTTGTCATCGATACTTTCGATTGTGGTAACACAGGTGTGTCGATGTAATTTCTATTATACAATTCGATATATCGGACAATAGTCAGTGAGTTCCAATAAATTTGGGTCAAGTCTCAACGTATCATGTCGAGGACATGCCTCCCTAATCAAAAATGTATTGGAATAAATCCTTTAGATACAATGAAAATTGGGTCATTTCGTGGTTCATGTTATTATAAACATTATATCCGATTCGAAAAGATAGTTTTTAATGGTTGGAAACGGAATGTTTGATAGATTTATTTATCGCATACAAATATAGGAAAATACTTTATAATAATATGAAAGTTCCTTGAACTTTTATTAATTTAGAAGTTAAAAAAAATCATACAGAGAACTTCACTTTTTAAGAAACACATTGCCCCCATTAAATATTTCTCCGGCGCGTAAACAAACATACAGTTTCACGTACCTATGACACCCATGCGTATCTATCGCTGTAACTATGAGTGCCAGACTTGTGTGAAAAAGTGGCTTTTATTTAAGATTATTTTTTTATTATTTCTAGGGATATTTGGTTACTGTGTAAAAAAATAAGTCTACCTACATCTTTTTTCATTAAGAAATTCATATCTATACATCTATACATTCATCATCATTCGTCATCAGCATATAAGTGCCCGGGTGATTCTCCAAAAAACCT